TAGAAGAAACAGCGACCAGTCACAGAGCGAACAGGACGACGTCAAAAGCAGTCTGAGCTCCAGTTTGTAAGTCTGCATGTGATCCTGCTTTGTTTTGGAAGGATTTAGAAATAACAGTCTGACTTATGTACCTCCTCTCAGGTCCCTGTCGCACCACGAGGAAGAGCTGGTGAGATTTCTTGATCACAGTTGGTTCTTAAACCCATCTTTTGTTAGATTTGTGTATGATGTTTCTGCAGGAGTCGTCATGTCCAGAGAACAGTCGGCCATCTTTGTGTCTGATGTGTAAGCAGGATGAATCCCTCCTCAGGACAAAGGTACAGTCATGCTAATCAGCTCAAGATTTCAGCTCATCTGTTTTGTCACAGGAAAAGGTTATATATATACACGCACACACACACGTACATATTCATACATACATTATATATATATATATATATATATATATATATATATATATATATATATATATATATATATATATATATATATATATATAAGAACTTTGTTTTCTACAGAGCCAGTCTAGGTTAGAAAACCATGTTCTGGTGGCTTTGGAGGAAAATGGCTCCTTTTCTGCAGGGTGCAGACAAACCTTTAGCTCTACAATAACATTTATTTTAATTTGTTTTGTTATTTCTGGGACAAAAATCACAGGAAGGAACAAACTGTTAGTATTAGTAATTATGATGTGGAATCTTCTTCCACTTATGTCTGTTAGGAAAACTACGCCAACTACAGGTCCTTCTAAAAGAATTAGCATATTGTGATAAAGTTCATTATTGTCTGTAATGTACTGATAAACATTAGACTTTCATATATATTAGATTCATTACACCCAACTGAAGTAGATCAAGCCTTTTATTTCTAAGATTGAGGATTTTGGCATACAGCTCATGAAAACCCAAAATTCCTATCTCAAAAAATTAGCATATTTCATCCGACCAATAAAAGAAAAGTGTTTTTAATACAAAAAAGTCAACCGTCTAATAATTATGTTCAGTTATGCACTCAATACTTGGTTGGGAATCCTTTTTCAGAAATAACTGCTTCAATGCGGCGTGGCATGGAGGCAATCAGCCTGTGACACTGCTGAGGTGTTATGGAGGCCCAGGATGCTTCGATAGCGGCCTTAAGCTCATCCAGAGTGTTGGGTCTTGCATCTCTCAACTTTCTCTTCACAATATCCCACAGATTCTCTACGGGGTTCAGGTCAGGAGAGTTGGCAGGCCAGTTGAGCACAGTAATACCATGGTCAGTGAACCATTTACCAGTGGTTTTGGAACTGTGAGCAGGAGCCAGGTCGTGCTGGAAAATGAAATCCTCATCTCCATAAAGCTTTTCAGCAGATGGAAGCACGAAGTGCTCAAAATTCTCCTGATAGCTAGCTGCACTGACCCTGCCCTTGATAAAACACAGTGGACCAACACCAGCAGCTGACATGGCACCCCAGACCATCACTGACTGTGGGTACTTGACACTGGACTTCAGGCATTTTGGCATTTCCCTCTGCCCAGTCTTCCTCCAGACTCTGGCACCTTGATTTCCGAATGACATGCAAAATTTGCTTTCATCCGAAAAAAGTACTTTGGACCACTGAGCAACAGTCCAGTGCTGCGTCTCTGTAGCCCAGGTCAGGCGCTTCTGCCGCTGTTTCTGGTTTAAAAGTGGCTTGACCTGGGGAATGCGGCACCTGTAGCCCATTTCCTGCACACGCCTGTACACGGTGGCTCTGGATGTTTCTACTCCAGACTCAGTCCACTGCTTCTGCAGGTCCCCCAAGGTCTGGAATCAGTCCTTCTCCACAATCTTCCTCAGGGTCCTGTCACCTCTTCTCGTAGTGCAACGTTTTCTGCCGCACTTTTTCCTTCCCACAGACTTCCCACTGAGGTGCCTTGATACAGCACTCTGGGAACAGCCTATTTGTTCAGAAATTTCTTTCTGTGTCTTAACCTCTTGCTTGAGGGTGTCAATGATGGCCTTCTGCACAGCAGTCAGGTCGGCAGTCTTACCCATGTTTGCGGTTTCGAGTAATGAACCAGGCTGGGAGGTTTTAAAAGCCTCAGGAGTCTTTTGCAGGTGTTTAGAGTTAATTAGTTGATTCAGATGATTCGGTTAATAGCTCGTTTAGAGGACCTTTTCATGATATGCTAATTTTTTGAGATAGGAATTTTGGGTTTTCATGAGCTGTATGCCAGAATCATCAATATTAGAAACAATAAAAGGCTTGAACTACTTCAGTTGTGTGTAATGAATCTAATATATATGGAAGTCTAATGCTTATCAGTACATTACAGACAACAATGAACTTTATCACAATATGCTAATTATTTGAGAAGGACCTGTACAGTTTCCTGCTGTCAGTTTTAGATTATATTAGTCAAAGTTCTAATGAGCCTCTTCAGAAGGACCACGAGGGGCTCCAGAGCCGCAGGTTTCAAACCCCTTAAACCAGAGGTTGGGAACCCTGGGGAGCCCCCATCCAGCTCGTTTTAAAGGTGTAAACACAGTTGAGTCACCTGTGCAGCAGATCATCAGGCTCTGCAGAAGCCTGATGATCTGCTGCTGACTGAAATCAGGTGTGTAGATGCAGGGGAAACCTTTAAAACAAGCTAGATGGTGGCTCTCCAGTACCAGGGTTCCCTACCTCTGCCTTAAATGATCACAGTTGGGTTGTCTTTCTTAACTTTATTGATTCATAAATGTGTTTTTCTGCAGAAACAGTGTAAGAACTGCTGCGGCTTCTTCTGTGGGAGCTGCGTGTCCAACGCGCTGCCGCTGCCATCCTCCATCCTCCCAGAAAGCGTCTGCACGTCCTGCTACTCCCAGCTCCTGCAGCAGTACGCCTCAACGCCAACATGAACGTGGAGGCATCGGTCCGTAACACTCGAGCACTTTCCTCTCTTCAAACGTCTCAAACATCTGCCAAGTTTAGAGCTGTGAGACGTTTTTAACAGTTTCAGTCCGTGGTGTTTGTTAGCAGGTTTTTATGCTGATTTAGCAGCACAGCAGCCATTTTACCATTTGTGCCTTTTGGTTGTTTCTGGCTGTCACCAAACTGTTCTTCAGATTTACTGGAATGATTATAGAATAAAGTTCATCGTTTTAAGCTGAGTTTTAAACATAAATGTTTGTTTTACAGTAGCTGAAGCAGAGTCACATGACTGTAGCTGGATAGAGCTGTGAATTGAGTTTTTTATGTAAATGATGACTTAACTGGAAAATGAAATGAATCCCAGTTAGCTGAGCGCTGTAGAGCTCCTCTGCCCACTCCTCTTTGAGATAAATGTTGGAATTAGAAGAATCTGGGAGAAGCAGACACGTTCTGTTAAGCAGAACTCGTCAGGCAAATCTTACAGCGGCGTCTTTTATCCTAAATACAGCAGCAAGAGGGAACATTTAGTGTAAATCATCTCATGACTTTTATTCTGGAAAATAACATGCCGAGTTAATTCTCAACATGTAAACTCTGATGTCGACTCTGCGTTCTCGGACATGTCTCTGATGTGCACTGGTAGATTCCTGAATCCGAGGTCACGGAGTGAAAATAAACAAATGATCCGTTTTTTCCTTTAGGTTTACAAAAAGGAAGCGTTTGTATTTTCTGCTGTTGCTGCCTTTCGTAGATCAAAAATGAGAGAAATTCCCTCCTGGCTGCTAAAATACAGCCTCGTTTCTTTTGTTGCTAAAATCCCAAAAGAATGAATGTTTCTACTGCGGTTTGAGTAAAACTGGTAAAACATTTAGACTTTATTGTAGAAACTGAGATCAATAAACCTTGTCAGACCTTGTGTGTGATGGCCTTTTTTAAATGACGTTTGGATGTTAAACAACAAAGAGCTCCGATCATTTTAGCTCGTTACATAAAATGGACTGAAGTGCTTTTAGAACGCCGGGTTCCACTTTCCTGCAGCTTGGGTGCAGAAAGGTTTCTAAAACTTGGTTCTGTCCCCCTTTCTTCATCCAGGAGTACATTTTAAAGTACTTCTCTGGTTAAAGGTAGTTTGACTGGATGCTGCTAAACAACCCAACAAAGTCATGAAACTAGTAGGTTTGGCAGATGGTTTATTTTACCATTTGAAGAATAAATATGATCTTCCCATATCCATTAGGCGTCTGTGTCAACGTTGACCTAAAAAACACATCTTCAGTTAGCATTCATGCTAGCAGATTAGCAATTCATTTAAAACTCTAAATCTGACACAATTCATTTAAACTGAAGTTTTTACTTTTGTGCTTTAAAGGTTCTCTCTAAAAATGTGAATGAATTCACCTGCTTGTGTTTAGTTGGTTCAGTTCAAATCTGAACCCGAGTTCAGGAACAACTCGATGTATCGATGACCTGAAAAACAACAGGAACTAATGAGAAAATAATCACGTCAAGCTTTACTTATGAAGCGCTTGTCATGCAGCAAGTACAGCTCAAAGCGCCGTACAAGATTAAAACAACCATGCTAAAGTCAGCCCCCCCGTCCCACCCCCAATACCATCCCGTACACACACACACACACACACACTCAAAAGCAATGAAAAGACAACTGGCTGAGTACAGATGGGCAACAAAGAAGGAGGAAACGCCATCAAAAGGAGCTAACAGCACCAGCGGCGGCAGCCCGGGCACCACCACGTGACGCCTCTCCCGGGGCAGTTGGCCCCCTCAGAGGAAACCCCGGTAGAGCCTTAACAAGATTAAGATGTTCAATTATTGATATAAGATCAAATTTAGGATAAATTAAGGTAAAACACATTATGATAGAAGATAATAGAGTAAAAAACATACAATATATAAACATAATACCGGTTAAAATGAATTATATTTACATAATATCATTTAATTAAGATTAAGTAACAAAACACTGATAAAAGAAATAAACTACAGACTAAAATAGATTGAATTCAGCTAAAAGCTACATTAAAGGTGAGCCTGGTCTTAAAAACATCAATGTTCTCTGTGGCCCTGAGGTCTTCTGGCAGACGGCTCCAGAGATGAGGGCCATAAAACTGGATGGGCGCCTCGCCTGGAGAGTGTGTCCTGACTTTTGGGATGACAAGGAGAAGGCTGCCAGACGAGCACCAGGACCACTAAGGCTCAGATGGCAGAACAATACATCTAAACTAGATGCACAAACAGTCATGAATAAATGAAGACTTGTCTACTTAAACTAGGAGACTACATGATACTCTTGAGCGTTAGAGGATGTGGTGTCACCAAATATGGTTGATTGAGGGTGTTTCTGTATGTAAATGATTGAACCTGGGTACGCACAGGTGGGTTTTGTTGTCAGTACATTGTGGAGGAACGTGCATTTGAGTGGCCACTGCATGTTCCATGAATAAGGATTTTGGCCCTTTGGCCAAACATTCTAAATGTCATTCGTAGGATGGACTAAAGGACAATTACTACCAACGTTTGATAAATGAGGACCCTGGAGTTTCAGTCATTACAAAGAATCCTGCGTCTGTGCAAATCAGCATCAGCTGCTTCAGTCACAACGGTGTCTCTACCAAGGTGTCACAAGAAATGTCTGACTGCTAAAACAGAACAACTCTGAGGACCTTCACAACCTTATCCCAGCACAACATACGGGTGTCCTTGGTAACCCAGCCATGACCACCCAAGATTTCAAACACACGAAAGACACGAATCATCAGAAGTATTGGTCGGAGGGCCCGGTGGCGCCAGCGCTCGACAGCCTCACCTCTGTCAGTGCGCCCAAGGGCGGTTGTGCCTCCATCGTAGCTCATCTCCACCAGCGTGTGAACGTGTGGGTGAGTGACTGATTGTGTCTTAAAGTGCCTTGGGGGGTTCCAGGACTCTAGCAGGCACTATATCAGGTACAGGCCATTTACCATTTTGTTGTCCAAGAGCCATGTAGGTTGTTTACATATCTGGGTGGCCTGGTATTTTTCCGGGCCAACCAAGGCTCATTCTCAGCCCTCTTCTTGAGGGGGTCTGCTTCAGGCCGACCAGGGCCGACACACCCACTGCTGACAGCAAATCCACACCTTCCATTAGAGCAAACCTCTGATTGGTGGGTAGAATCAGCCCACATGGGCTTAAGGCAAGGATGTGTGGAATCAACCGGGCCAGGCTGGGGCTGACTGGGGCTACCCGGCCAGGGCCGACCCGGTACAGATGGGAATGGTCCAATAGGTTTAGAGGTGGAGGAGAATGAGGGATAAATTTGTTCATGTTAAAAAATTGTTTGAAGCACAAAAAACATTAACAATAGTAAATGCACTTATGACTGGATTCCTCAGGAAAGTGCTACACCCTCTGCTGTCCTGACGGGGAATTGCTTTGCATCACTCCCCAGATGATGAATTCAATGTGTGTGAAACCCTTTTATAGAGCTCCGGACGTCACGTGACTCTCAAGAGAGTAGACGCCATGTTGGCAGGCAACAAAGGTAAACAAAATGAACGGGATCGGCTTGGATTTTCATCGTCTGAGTTTACTTCACACTTTAAAACCGAAGAAATTGTTTTATATAGTCAGAAATTAAATAAACATCTCCGACCCTTACCGTGCCCCTGGGGTACTTTTTTAAAACGCCAGAAGCTGTCGGAGCGGACTTCTTACCGGACCTGGCCGGGGAACCCCTTGGGGTTCCCCCGGAGGAGCTGGCCCAAGTGGCTGGGGAGAGGGAAGTCTGGGCCTCTCTACGCTACTGCCCCCGCAACCCGACTCCGGATACGCGGATGAAAATGGATGGATGGACAAATAACAGATTTACACGTAAGTAGTTTAAATAGAGTGCTGTGCTGTTTGAATGTATCAACTGAACACCAAGAGAAATCACTAGTTTGATTTTTTTCCGTGAATAAAATAAAAATGTCAGGCAGGAGCGTCTCAGGATCTGTCTGAGATCTGTTTCGGTGAGACAGATAATAGCAATCCAAAGTGCTTTTTATGTGTGATCTGACAATTGATCAACCATTGCTTAAAAATTAAATACAGCTTAACCGGTTAATTGTTGTGATCATAAAACACGTAAACGGCAGCACGCAGAACTCACGAGGCAACGTTTTACGTGTTGTTTACTTGTTGCTATGAGTAATAAGACAGAAAAAGCCCCGCCAAAATAAGTTTAGGAAGCCCACTAAGAATCGTAATAAAAGCATTTAAAATAAACACCATACACAGTTGAGGAAACGTTGGTTTAAGTCCCATTAGATGTCACACACACAGGTGTGTGTGCAAAATTTATTCTCCGCATTTGACCCATCCCCTGGGGGAGCGGTGAGCTGCAGACAAGCCGCGCTCGGGAACTATTTGGTGGTTTAACCACCCAATCCAACCCCTTAATGCGGAGTGTCAAGCAGGGAGGCACTGGGTCCCATTTTTTCAAAGTCTTTGGTATGACCCGACCAGGAGCCGAACCCTGATCTCCCAGTCTCAGGGCGGACACTCTACCACTAGGCCACTGAGAAAGGTAGTGGTTGCTGCATTAGTGAAAACCTTTACTCTCGGGGTCCCACAGTTTCATTTCAGCCCGGTCACTAGCGCGTTTTATTACAAAAAAATCATCCAACGTTTGCGGCGCTCCGGATCTTGGGGAACCCTGTAGATGGCTCATTCCTTATGTCGTCCCCGTCTGGAGCACAACAGGAATCTACCATATTTCCCGTTTGATTGAGTTTTCTGACAATAACAAATAATCCAGCTGCGGGCTTCTGCCTGCCAATATGGCGCCGTTTTGATTTGAACTGTTGCATGCTGGGAGAAGTGACGTCAACTCCCGGAGCTCTATTTGATGGGAGTTGATCAGCTGGTAAATTAAAGTAGTAGCTAAAAGGAACTATAACACCCCCTAGTGGCTGCATGTAGTACAAGTTCTCAGATCTGCCCCTAAAACACAAAAACAAGCTTCAGATATTTTCTCTCCAGGCTCTAGTTCCTGTTGAGTGCCATACGTCACTCTTTACTGCAGTTCAAACATTTCAATTCAGTTTATTTCTATAATGCCAAATCACGACGAGTCGTCTCAAAGACCCTCACACAGCAAACATTCCAGTACAGGTCAGGGGCCTTATCTATAAAACATTGCTAGAATCTGTACTAAAACCGTACTTGAGCTCAGCAAAAAGATGTACTTACGCCAAGTAGGTATGTGACCTATAAAACATGGAGTACGCACAGCTGCACGCAAACTCCGCTTTATAAATCAGAGACTTTCTAGACAGGTTCTGAGGTGTTTGAGTCGCATCCCGCCCTCACCACGCCCACATTCTGCCATAAATGGTCAATGCAAAGCGCCTTGTGGATCTCATGCATATACATAAGCCGGCTCGTTGCAGCGCTCCACCATTAACGATGGCGACCGCAGATCAAGGAAGCGCTATTCCATCGAAGCAGAAGTTGAGGTACTTGTGGGTGAGGTAAGGAAATGAAAGGAAGTGCTTTTGCAAAACAAATAAGAGAAAATCCACGGAGAGGCACAGTGGTACCAGGTAATGCTGCTGGGATTCATAATTGTATCTTCTCAGCAGCAGCACTGCAGGTGCTCTCCATGTCCAACATGTAAGCCAGGTCCTTAGGCCTAGACCACACGTAGCCGGGGTTTTTTGAAAACGAATATCCGCCCCTCTAAAAACTTGCATCCACACCACCGCGTTTTAAAACAAAACTCTGTCCACACGTACCCGGATAAATACGTTGTTAAGGGCATGCCAGACCTGTAGGCGGCAGTACTTCCCCCGTTCTTAACCTCGTCCTTCGTCTGTGGTCTTTCGCAAGGAGCAGTAATTCCGCTTGCAAAAACAAACGAGCAAAAAGCGCTTGGACAATTGATGGATCGGGTAGTGACAGAGCGCAGCTCTGAGGGCATCCATGATGCCGGCTAGTGTAAACACAGGTCGCACACGTGATGTCAGCATTTTTTGTCGCGGAAAGTGACGTTGCAGACCTTAAAACTCCGGTTTTGTCTGTCCACACGCAGACACCCAAAACGGAGAAAACGCAGATCTTCACTTTGGCCGGAGTTTTTAAAAAGATCCGTTTTCGTGTGAAAAAACTCAGTTTTCGTGTGGATGACAGGCCAAAACGTAGAAAAATATCTACGTTTTGGCAGATCCCCGGCTACGTGTGGACAGGGCCTTAGTCAACTTAAAGTTGCGCACATTTTTCCGCTAAGTTTTCTTTCATAAATCCCAAAGTTTGCGTGGAAAGTTGCTTACGCAGTTTTCCGACCCCGTTTTGTGCGTAAGCTAGCTTGATAAATGAGGCCCCAGCTCATTAAGCCAATCAGTAAAAAGTTTCCTATATAAGGAACCCAGCAGGTCGCATCGAGTCACTGACTAGAGTCAGAGTCTTTCCAGCAATCCTCATACTAAGCAAGCATTTCATTTTCTCTTACACTGTAATTTGTTCTATTTGAGGATTAAAAACTCATGATGGTGAGTGGTGAGGTTTTGGCTAAAATAATCTATTCATCTGATGTCCTTGCTGACCTATCTTTAAGCGGTCCCTGGACATGGCTGTGACGGCGTCCTCGTGGCTGCTGAAGAAAACGTCGGCCTCTCCGCTCAGCCTCCCGTCAGGCCCACACTCAAGCAGGATCTTTGATACTTTCAGAGGAGAGAAGAACTGAGAGAAGAACCAAGCGGATTAAATCCTGTCCAACATTCAACATGTTACATAAAGTTCACATTTTACCTTCACAATGTCTTCTCCAGACACCTGGAAAGGAAGTCCTCTTAAGTGGAGATAATGATTGGGAACATCTGACATCTCAGGGGGAACTTCACCAGCAGAAATAACAAGATTCATCAGTTTGGCGCCATTTTGATTTAAAACTCAGTTTTTATGAATTCTAGTGAATAATTAGCTCCACACAAACAGACCGAGTTTGGTCATCAATAAAATAACGTAAACCAGCAGCAGACGGATCTGCGACATACATCTCCTCACCAGCTTTGGTGTTGGTTTGTGGAGGAGAAATTGTTCTCCTGTCCTGCTGAGATGAATTTAAACTCCCCCTCATCCTCCAACTCGAGTGAATCTGGCTTCTGCTGCTGGGAAACACCTCGATGTATCTGCAGACGGGGCCAGAAGCACAAAGACGCCCGAATAAATCCAGAGTGCGCCTTTTGTTGCTGAAACTTTGGTATCTCATAAGACGTGAATAACAAAAACAAATGAATATCAAATAATCCTGAACTATTATGATGCAAAAATGCTTGATATCAGGTCCGTTGTACCTTCTAAACCTTCACAAGAACAACGTTTGAACACGTCTTTCAACAAAGGATTGCTTACTTAAGCAGATCTTGATGAACTGACTGATGTTGTCTCTCCTTATGCCGGACTGCCAACTCTCACACATTCAACCTAACCCTCTTCACACGCTCTCAAGCCACACCTCCAATTTCTCGTGCTGTTCAAAAGCTAGCAGCTCTGCTTACATGGCTTTTTGTGAGGCTTCTATTATTCCATGGAGAGAAACACATTTTTATCACAGTAACAAGCCCTGGGTGACAAAATGTCAAAAATATACAGTAATCCCTCGCTACTTCGCGGTTCGTTCATCGCGGATTCGCTGCTTCGCGGATTTTTTCTTTGGAGCATTTTTCAGGGGGAATTCGCAGATTCGTGGTATTTTTCACTGATTCGCTGTATTTTTTTATGCGAAATATCAAGAAATTCTTGTTTTTTTTTTCATCAATTTCATCATAAAATGCACTTTTTGTAATAAAACTAAAAAAAAAAAACAAGTAAAAAAAATTTTTTCTTGAGTTTTACCCACAAAAAGAGAATGTGATCATACGATAATTCAATATAGTACTGTATGTCAGACAGGTCGGCTGGATTCGGGAGCTGAGCTTGTAGGGAGCGTGGTTTCACAGACGCGGAAGTGATAGCGTCGGTGAAACGCCGGCTGATCTAGGAACTCCCCGAGCGTTCGAGCGTCAACGAAGTGACACGGAAATGCCGGGCTTTCCAGAAGTAAGTAAGATAACTTACTATGAGCTGATAGTTTGTTGGATTGATCGGTAGGTTGGAAACTCTGATCATGAATCTGAAGAAACGATGACTGAGTGGTGAGCTGGAAAGGCGACTTCCGTTTATAGCCGCGGTTTGTGACGTAGGTGCGACGTGGAGGGAATCCCCCGCGAGGGGCATGCTGGGAGTCCCTACTTCGCGGATTTTCACCTATCGCGGCCAGGTCTAGAACGCATCTACCGCGATAAACGAGGGATTACTGTAATTAAATAACATCTTTGTTTCCTTCAGAGTGATGAGGAGAAGAGAGAGCTTCAGAAGCAGGGACCCCTGTTGTTTTTAATTTACATTCTTCCACTGGGTGACATTTTGCAGAAGCGTGGAATTGGCTTCCACCTTTAAGCTGAAGACTGCCACTTATACCTACCCTTGGATGGTACTGGAGACCCTACAATCAAACCATGTGTGGGATGTGTGACTTAAGTCAAGGCATGGACGGCTGAGAACTTCTTGTGTCTCAATGAAAGTAAAACAGAGGCAGTGTTGTTTGGACCAAATAGTGACTTTGACTCTTCCGATGTAGACTCTGCTGAATGAAATTCTTATTTGAGTGTTTCTGCAGCCAATCTCGGAGTGAGGATCGATAAAGCTTTCTGCTTTGATGCTCACGTCAGTACTGAGGTATCGTCCTCTCTATCGTCTGAGGCGTTCGGCTAAAGTTAAGTAATTTTTGACTCGACTGGATCTTGAGACTGTTGATCGTGCCTTCATCACCTCACGCCTTGACCACTGTAACTCTCTTATTTGGTATAAGTCAGGGTACTGTAGCTCACTTATTTCAGTCCGCGTGAAACATGACCCCGGGCGATTGCAAAGCCATGAATTAAACGAAGCCTCGAGGCAGAGAATTTGGCTCTAGATTATTCGAGGTACTCGAGGAATCGTTTCAGCCCTAGACAACACCTCCTCACTCTGAATAAAGTTCATCTTCCTTGAAGACGACTCTGGTCCTGATTTGGCGCTTTAGAAATAAACTGAACTGAATTGAATGATCCCAAAATGTGTCTCATCTTGTGTCGTTCATTAGGAGCTCCTACCTGTGTCCGATGAACTCTCTGTCCCTCTGCAGAGCTTTGTTGGCTTCTTCCACAGAGGAAAACTGCACAAAAGCGTCGCCAGAGTTTTTTCCTCTGTTGTCTGCAACAATGGTGATCCCACCCTCGGCAATATCCAGACCTATACAGATGCAGAAAGAGATCATTCTTCTGCTTTAGAAAAACTGGAAAGCATCATGAGGATGTTTACATAATTTGATTTGATATTTCTTCTGCCAAACTGTCCGGCGCCTCAGGAGGGGAAGGCAGCAACTCGCTCACACTGTTTAAGTGGAGATGAAGAGCTACTGACGTCAACTGGGGCTATAGAGCTCCGGACCCCATGTGACTCTCAGTTAGTAGACGCCATATTGGCAGGCAACAAAGGTAAACAGTAGGGATGTGTATTTTTTAAATTCTGGCGATACGATACATATCACGATACAGGGGAGACGATACGATATATCACGATATATTGCGATACATTCAGTCAGACGTTACAAGCTTTTTTTTTTTTTTACTGAATTTATTGTAAGAATGTTCAATAAACAGTCCAAACTGATACGTAACATGTTTAACATGAGGTATCTGAACCATGATGGAGGGATTTACATTTCAGTGGTGGAAACAAAACCCACTGCACACTGCTGCCAACTAGCGGGTGGCGATTGAATTGCGCAAAATGAAAAGAAAATTCACAAATGTTTGCATGTAAATTCTTTCAGGAATTAGATACACGGCTTTTGAATATCGATGTAATAATCGCAGGAAAAAATATCACGATATATTGCCATATCGATATTTCCGATACACAGCTTTTGAATATCGATAGAATATTGCTGGGAAAAATATCACGATATATTGCCATATCGATATTTCCGATACACAGCTTTTGAATATCGATAGAATATTGCTGGGAAAAATATCACGATATATTGCCATATCGATATTTCCGATACACAGCTTTTGAATATCGATAGAATATTGCTGGGAAAAATATCACGATATATTGCCATATCGATATTTCCGATACACAGCTTTTGAATATCGATAGAATATTGCTGGGAAAAATATCACGATATATTGCCATATCGATATTTTCTTACATCCCTAGTAAACAGAATGAACGGGATCGGCTTGGATTTTACTTCGTCGGACTTTACTTCACACTTTAAAACTGAAGAAATCGTTTTATATAGTCAGAAATTAAATAGACTAAACATCTCAATATATATAGCCATGCCCTGGTGTGGGGGCTGGGGGTGCGTCGACATGGTCGGGACATAGAAGGGGGTGCGCGGCTAAATAAGTTTGGGAACCACTGCTTTAAGGCAAACTCAGTTCCCTGTTGTTCTCCAGACCCTTAAGGTCTTATGAAAAAAAAGAAGAAAAAAACGGGCTTCGAATGGTTAAGTATAAACCTTTAATTTTGGTTACCATTAATTGTTAACCTGTAGTCCTTGATAGCATTTTCATTTAGTCTTTTCCTCTTAAGTTAATTCGAACCGCTGAAAGCTCAGATTGTGATAAATTTAGCGTTTGTTACCTTTTTCTTTTGAAAAGGTGTTTTTTGTTTTGAAATTAAATGAAACTCTGCCCACTCGTGGCTGCCAGAATTTAATATAGATTCAGAATCTATATTTTTTTTGTGTTAATTAAGTAAATAAATCACCTGGTAAGATGCCCTTAGTGCTGAGGATTTTCCTCGATACCCTTTTGTTAATTAACTTGTAAATTTGGCATTCTTTTATTTTTAATCTAAGTATTATGGTTAATGATAGACGTTGCTTCAAACATTCTCCTTTCGTTCCAGCATCAATTCTTATGTCCACCCACCTCCACACACACCATCATCAGTCGGGGTTGTAACAATGGCTTTGGATGTTGTAGGACTGTCGTGGTTGACACGTCTCTGCAACATTGCGTGGTCATCGGGGCAGTTCCTGTGGAGTGGCAGACCGGGGTGGTGGTCCCCATCTTTAAGAAGGGTAACCAGAGGGTGTGTTCCAACTATAGGGGGATCACACTCCTCAGCCTCCTGGGAAAGGCCTACACCAGAGTACTGGAGGAGGGTCCGGTCGATAGTTGAATCTCGGATTGAGGAGGAGTTTTCGTCCTATTGGTGGAAATGTGGACCAGCTCTTTACCCTTGCAAGGGTGATAGAGGGGTCATGAGAGTTTGCCCAACCAATCATTTGGAGAAGGCTTACGACCGTGTCCCCAGAGGCACCCTGTGGAGGGCGCTCAAGGACTATGGGGTGGATGGTCTTGTGCTAAAGGCCCTTCAGTCCCTTTACCAGAGGAGTGCGAGTTTGGTCCGCATAGCTGGTAGTAAGTCGGACTTGTTCCCAGTGAGGGTTGGACTCCGCCAGGGCTGCCCTTTGCCACCGGTCCTGTTCATTACATTTATGAACAGGATTTCTAGGTGCAGCTGTTGTGGAGGGTGTGGAGTTTGGTAGCAGGAGAATCTGATCTCTGCTTTATGTGGATGATGTGGTCCTCCAAGCTTCATCTCTTGCTGGGGAGGTTCTTAGCCGAATGTGAAGCAGCTGGGATGAGGATCAGAACCTCCAAATCTGAGACCATGGCTCTGAAGTGGAAGGGTGGTTTGCCAACTCCAGGTTGGGAGAGAGGTCCTGCCTCAAGTGGAGGAGTTTAAGTATCTCGGGGTCTTGTTCACGAGTGAGAGAAGGAGGAATCGGGAGATCAATAGGCGGATTGGGGCAATGTCTGCAGTGATGCGGACGCTGAACTGGTCTGTTGTGGTGAAGAGAAAGCAGAGCCAGAAAGCCAGGCTCTCGATTTACCGGTCGATCTACCTCCCAGTCCTCACCTATGGTCATGAGCTCTGGGTGACGACCGAAAGAACGAGATCACAGATACAAGCGGCCGAAATTAGCTTCCTTCACAGGCTGGCCGGGCTCAGCCTCAGGGATAGGGTAAGGAGCTCTGACATCCGGGAGGGACTTGGAGTAGAGTCGTTACTCCTCCGCATTGAAAAAAAAAAAGCCAGCTGAGGTGGTTTGGGCATCTGGTCAGGATGCCTCCTGGACGCCTCCCTTGGGAAGTGTTTAGGGCATGTCCTGCCAGCAGGAGGCCCCTGGGTCGTCCCAGGACTACCGAAGGAAATACATCTCTAGGTTGGCCAGGGAATGCCTGGATGTCCCAGCTGAGGAGCTGGCAGACTTGGCCGGGGAGAGGATTGCCTGGGAGGCCCAACTTGGGATGCTACCCTTGTGACTCGGACCCCGGATGAGCAGAGGAAGGTGGGGTGAGGTGAGGATTTGACATTTAGATTAATTAAATCATAAAAAGCCCATTTATAATAAATTCAACTAAAATTCAAACCCGAAAAAAAGTTGATGATGTCATCCTCCTTGCAGGAGAAAGGGAGTCCTCTGAGCAGAACCACGGCGTCGTCTGCTCGGGTGCCTGACGGTTTCTTTAGGATGGCTTCAGCATCGCTGTCTGTTACTTCAAAAACTGGAAACAAAAGCACAAATAATCAGTTTTATAATGACTTAACAGACCAATGATGTCACCAATAAAATCTTATTTGACTCAAACAGATCAGGACAACCTTCAACGTAACGTGAACCGAGGTATTGTCTGTGCTTCCCCAAAGCTCTGACAACATCCTGCTCATGTTCCATCTCAATAAAGGCTCGACCCGATGGCCGCCCCGGTCGGTCCTCAATCAGGTGGATGCCTTTTTCACCTGCATGGATCCTACAATCTACAACACAGCACAGTTACTGTTTTACAAGCTTTACACAAGATGCACCTGATTTTATTCTGACCGAAAACTCACCAGAGAAGAACTGCAGAAGGTCTTGCGCTGTGCACGACCAGGGGAGGCCCTTCACCTGTACGAGGTACACTTCTTTGGTCTCTGGTTCTGAATCCAGCTGATAGGCTGGCAATGGTGGGTATTCATCCTCACAAGGGGGTCCGGCCTGGAAGACGGTTTTAAAATTTTCCAGCACAATGATTAAATAAGTAATTAAAATGAAGATGACACACGTGTGTATGCATGCATGCATGTATGTATGCATGTAGCTAAAACGGAGCATGAGGCAGCCGCAGCAAGATGTCTAGCGCTGCCACGATTAGTCGACTCGTCACGACGCCGACAAATAAAGTAGACCTTATTTTATAAACATTTTTGAAATCTCGCCTGCTGCGGCACGTTCAGCGTTTGCTTCCTGCCTTTCTGCTCAGCCGCCACTTTAGCTCCGAGGCGCGTGCGCAGTGGTGGCCGTCCAGCTCAGCCTTCATCACCGGAGAGAGAAAACGTGGCTAGTCAGCAGCGTAGCTCAAAAGTGTGGGAGCATTATACAAAATCAAAAGAAAGGCCCGTAGGATGCAAACTCTGCAAAGCGGAACTCCCCTTTCACGGGAGCACATCACACCAGCCGTGCTACAGAGGCGTACCTTGGTGTGTCCTGCTATCTCCGGAGTTAAGATTGGAAGACGAAGCTCTTTAGCCTCGCCACCGTGCCTCTGAACACAAGTCTCGTTTGGTTTTAGGTGCCTACCTCCATCTGACTGCAGCATTTGTATTAACGGGTTACAAAGTTAATTATAGTTGTTTGACAAGCGATCATATTGTCTTTATTACTAGATGGCACACAGCTGATCACACTTCAGACTAGAAGCTACTGATGGTATATTAGAGCATCCTGGTGCAACAAGCTAAACTTTTATGAATGACATGATTAGTCCACTACTAAAATAGGCGTTTGTGGCAGCTGTAAAGATGTTGCAGCGAGAAGAGGCACAGAAAAAATAAAAATACCAAAAATAAAATGGCCAGGGGTGCGGTAAAATATTCTACAATTTTTTAAATATTTTTCTATAATTATCGATATCGATCATTATACAAAAATTTTATCAATATACTTTTTTATATATCGTCCAGCCCTAATATATATATATAATAGGCAGCATTGGAGAGAATACTTTTTAAGTGTATTTTCTTAAAGAATACTGAAAACCAGGAAAATCTGCCTGAGGGTTCGCGGCTCTGGGTCAGGGGGTTTAAGATTTTTGGCGTCTGCCTGATCGATCCTGGTGGCTGCCTGGTGGGATCTGAGTCCCTGGGCTCTGTTGGGTTCCCGGCTCGGCCGACTGGGGGATGGGAGGCTGCGGGCGGGCCTGTGGGCTTGTCCCGGGACTCTGCCGGCTGCCTATTGTGACCCCCCTGGGGCGATCCTCTGTGCCTCTCGAGAGGGAGCTGGGGCTTCTCTGGTTACAGCCTCCCCAGGGGCGTACCCAGGGAGTGGCCTGGGGTGGCACATGCCACCCCAGGTGTTGCCACACTAATTTACCTTTAAGTAGGCTTTTCCTTGTCCACAAAAGACTTGGGGGTAAATCAATAAAAGCGTAACCATTGGTGCCACCCATGCACAAAGTTGTGCCTCACCTGGGCCACCCCATTTTAAAAGATCTGGACACGCCACTGAGCCTCCCTGGGGTCCCTGCACTCTGGGGCAGCTCCTGGATCTCTGGGACTTGGAGCTCCCTCCATGTCCTACACATCTTTGGGGGCAGATCTGTGTGGGCTGGTTATGTTAGTAACCAGGCTCATCCTCTGTAGTACAGACAGCGGGCCAGGAACCTTTCCAAAGTATTTTAATATTATGAGATACTGAGTTTGGGATTTTCATTAGATGTCATTTATAATAATCAAAATTCAAGAAATAAACGTTTGACATATATCAGTCTGTGTGTAGTGAATGAATCTAATACACAAGTTTACGTTTTTGAATGGAATCACTGAAATAAATCAACTTTGTCATATTCTCATCAGCACCTGTATTTATAAGAGCCTGGAACAAACTGGGATCATGGCGGCTCTCACCTGGGTAGAGAAGCGGTGATGGTTGCTTCTCACGGCGGACTGGAGCGGACAGAGTCTCTGCGGACCTCCTGAGGTCCACCTGTGCTGCTGGATGAAGCTCCACGGGTTCGACGACACGCTGCGTCTTATGATCGCAGCTGGACCTGAAGGTCTAACTGCGACACACCGCTGCAATAAAAACAACAAACCTTTACAGTTTCCGGACATTTTAATTCCGAAAAGTAAACGATAAAGTACAAGTTCCAATGAGTCTGAGACCGGTCCAACCACACCAGCTACTAGCTAACAACGATAGTTAGCGTTGTCACGTGGGACAGCGACAAGGGCAAATTCGTTTCTGGTAAATTTTCTGCTTCTTGTTGCTTTAAAGGCGGGCGGCATCTAGCATCAGGCGCTTTTCCGCCATCTACTGTGTAGGAGTGTGAGTCGAGGTGGGACAGTCAGTTTTTAATGGTAAACAACTCAGGTCTTTACATTATTATACTTTATAAATACACAATACTCCATATTAAATCCACTTTTTCTCAGGAAGTCCAACTACACTTCTCCCCACTCAAATTCTTTAAATTCAATTCCCCATATCGTTTCACCCTTCATTTGTCTTTTAATACTTCCCTATCTGCATAGCTTAGGCAAAAACACAACACGACCCATCTCCCGGTCCTGTCCACAGTCACATACACCTGTGAGATGTTTCCCTACTAAGTGAATCATTCTGTATAACGCTGTATGTCCCATCCTCATTCGTGCTATCAATGTTTGGTCCCTCGTAGCCATTTGCACACTTCTCATTCTACCCACCTTTCCCCCATACAGTAAAGATACCCACCCTATGGGGCAGCAGTAGCTCAGGTGGTAGAGCGGGTTGCCCCATGGGTTTGATTCCAGCTCCAGCCAGGAGCTGTTGTGCTGTCTGCTGTTGTGTCCCTGGGCAAGACACTTCACCCAGCTTGTCTGTTTTGGTGGTGGTCAGTGGGGCCGACGGGCCAAATGGCAGCCCCACCTAAGTCAGACTGTCCCAGGGCGGCTGTGGCTACAAAGTAGCTTACCAACGCTGGCAGTGTGTGAATGTGAGAGTGCATGGAAGCGTCTTTGAGTGTCCTAAAAAGCGCGATATAAGTTTGATGTATTGTTATTTCTCTTACCCACTGTAGCGTTGGAGAAGGCCTTGTAGGTCAGAGGTCATCAAAACAGTCTACAGCCAGCTTCACTGCCCAGAATGCTGTATGCTTTCTAATCCATTTCTGACCTCGCCATCCAGACAAAAACCCACCTTCTGTCTGGCCTCCAAATCCAGAAAGTTCTTCTCAGTTCTTGTTACCGTACATTTTGGTAAAGCCCTCAAACGTGTCAAATTCTGATTTGCCAAATTAATCAACAATGTGGTTTTAATAAAACAGGAATTACTTCCCGATTAATTAAGTTTCCGGTTGACACCCGGTTTGGCCAATTTGGTGAAAGCATTTTTGAAATCATCCTATCTTTTGACCTCAGGCCAAAACCTTTTTGCAACTCTGCAGCTGACAAATGACTCTTCTATAAGCCAACAAACAGACTTAGATGCAAACGAGCATTCCAGCTTCTTGTCGTGACCTGGAGATATCTCAAGACTAGACGGGTCGTATCAGAGCTAATCTACAGGTTACTGGTACCTCGAGATCCATGACCATCCCGACCTCGTGACCTCCTGGATCTGAACGGGGATCTCTACACAAAGGGTATCGTAGACTTAACAGATTGCGTCGGATGGTTTTTATAAACAAATCTGTAGTTTAACCAACATACAGCCAAATTATTTAACAACCCAGACTTCACAAATTCTCTCAGGTTCAAAATCAATTTGATAAAAGGACGAACAACTAAGTCCTTCAGGGGTACTTCTGAGTTAAAAAATAATCATGAAATATGTATGTGGAATAACCAGGTAGGTAGGTTTTAACGTTGCAAATCTGCAACGCCTGCCTCCAGAGGGTTAAGAAAGGTTTTGCTAAAATCTAGCTTCCATTACAACATCTCATCCATCACATTAATCCACTTCATATCCATCATTCCATTTATATCTTGTCAGGTATAATCATTAGTTTAGGGAAAAGAAAAAATGTTATTTTTATAAACTATATACTTGACTCTGTCTGAATGAATATGATGGTCCCTGAACAAGTAACTAGAATCTTCTGATTAAGCATTCAAATGTCAATCAGATCGATTTTTCAATTCAATTCAATCATTTATTTCACTCAAAGTTTAAATATACAAACTTCAAATCAGAATATAAGCATTCGAGTGAAATAGGGGTAGGAAGAAGAAAAAATCTTATATGACCTACCCCCTTTAACTAAGACAAGATAAATAACAAAAAGTACAAAATAGCCTTATACACAAAAATTAAACTGCTCTCTTACTTCCACAAATAATATCACTACTAAAACATTAATCCTCCGTCCTCAACTCACTAAATCATACGATTTTAGCATTTTATCTTTATACATTTTTTTTAATTGATCAGTAGTTGTACATTTTTTTAATTCATCATCCAGGTTATTCCATAATTTCACACCATATATTGAAATACACATTTGCTTTATTGTAGTACGAACAAATATCCTTTTAAACTCTGGTTTCTTTCTACTCTTATCCTTTTTTTGGGATCAAAACAAAGAACTTTTGTAGATTAGTTGGCAGTAAATTATTTCTAGCCTTAAACATAATTAGTAAAATCTAAAGTTAACTAAGTCTTTGAATTTCATAATTTTAGATAGAATAAAATATTTGTTAGTATGTTCTCTCGGATTTGCTTTATATAGAATTCGCAAAACTTTCTTCTGTAACAGAAACAAAGGATTAGTGTTTGTTTTATACGTATTGCCCCAAACCTCAATACAATAAGTTAAGTATGGTAAGATAAATGAATAATATAATGTCTGAAGTGTTGAAATTTCTAGAATACTTTTGACTTTGTTCAAACATTCCAATACTTTTGGATATTTTTTATTTTATATATTTTATATGGGATTTCCAAGTAAGTTTATGGTCCAAGAGAACCCCTAAGAATCTGACTTCATTTACTCTATCAATTAAAAAACCATCAATAGACAACGTAACTAAATCATTAGTTTTTCTGTTACCAAAAACCATGAATTTTGTTTTATTCCAATTGAGAAATAATTTATTGTCATTGAACCACTTCTTAAGTTTAGACATTTCACAAACCATATTTTGAATAATAATTTATAAATAATTTCCAGAACAAAATATATTCGTGTCATCAGCAAACAATATGAACTGTAATACTTTGGACACATCACAAATGCCATTTATATATAGAATAAAAAGCTTAGGGCCCAACACTGACCCCTGTGGGACACCGTGTGTAATCTCTAGTGAATCTGAAATTTCATCATCTAACTGTACAAATTGATTTCTATTGGTCAAATAACTACTTAACCAGTCATAGGCGATTCCACGTATCCCATAATCCCTCAGCTTGGAGAGTAAAATACTATGATCTATTGTGTTGAATGCCTTTTTTAAATCAATAAACAAACCCACTGTATATTGTTTTTTTTCTATTGCTGATGAAAGTTCTTCATTTAATTCCAATAAAGCCAGGGATGTGGATTTATGTGATCGAAACCCATACTGACTCTCACTCAGGAGGTTTTCCTTCTCAATAAAGTTTAGTGATGTGTCGGTCGCGAACGAACCGGCTCTAAGAGCCGGCTCTTTGAAGTGAACGACGGGAGCCGGCTCCTCATTGGGAGACGCCCCCCCCCCCCCCCCCCCGCCTTGGTGAAAGCTACAGGTGATTGGTCAACATGTGTAACTGTGTGTCCACACACAGAGCAGTAGGGGCGGGGAAGAGGGAGGATCATACTCAGACAGACACACAGCAGAGCACATGCGGGTGGAGGGAGACGAGAGGGAATGAGGAGGAGGAAAAAGGCGAGAGAGAGGAGAGTGCGACGAAGACGGTGAGAAAATGAGCGCCAGCAGTAGGGAAGTGGAGATTTCTTAAAGTGTTCAGTTATTAAATCCATAGAAATGATAAATATTTGATATATTGTTTACATATAATTTAGCATTATTTTGGTTACAAATGTACTCTACGCAACAGAAAATCTGAGGAGCCACTTGGGAGCCTAAAGAGCTGGCTCTCTAAAAAGAGCCGGAATTCCCATCACTAATAAAGTTATCTAGTTTCTGAACAGACCATTTCTCAAGCACTTTAGAAAACTTCATATTTATATGGAATAATCACATCTTATTGGTCATTTTAATAATTGTGTAGCAATTACCAACGCAAAAATTAAATGTTGCGGTAAAAGCAACTTTCTACAGTCAATGGGTACAAGGAAAGTGGCGTGTCACGTGACCGCCGTCGTTATTTCCTGCATCCACAGCAGCCTCTGCTCGTTCCTGCCTCCCTGCCTGCGACACCTCAGCAGCGGTGTAGTCGCTTCCAGCGAACGTTGGCGGAAAGAAAACACTCCCCTCTTCCCGAAGGCCTTCTTCACGCCGCAGTCCTGCTTAAGTCCCACCGGAGGCGGATTCAAGCACTTGCTTACTTCGACGTCGACTCGTTCCTCTCCTCCGTCTTTTTTTCGGGAAGCCTGACTAGATAGCCGATCATCGTAATGGCGACAGCTGCGGTGTCTGCCCCTGCTGGCTGCGGCCCTAGCCCCGGACCGGGAACGGAGCTGGTCCGCGGGCAGGCCTTTGACGTCGGGCCTCGGTACAGCAACCTCTCCTACATCGGAGAGGGCGCTTACGGGATGGTCTGGTAAGTTTCATACGAATTCGCTCTGTGGTTTTGTTTTTGTCGGCCCTTTAGCGCGTTGCAGCTTTCGAGCAAACGAGTGTTTAGAATTCAGAGCAAGAAAGCTTCAGTTGAGGAGGAAAAGTCACCAAATCACGGCTCTAGCCTGTAGCTATGCTAGCGTGTAGCACGGATAAACACTAAATATAGACACGAGCGACTAATCCACTAAAAACGTAAATAAAAAGCAATAAAATGACTTATATGGAGTTCTGCTGGTGCTATACAGACGTGCGGTAATTTAATGAGTAAATATATTTTTAAAGCCAAACTCTGTTCCTTTTTGTTTTTAAATCTAACCCAACATTTCGGTTATTTTACAAAAGTTTCCAGGTGTTCACCCTCATTCTGGCTGCACGGTTTAGATCTGGGTTTAGTTGCATAATACACCTGAAAATGTATTGTGGGAGTACGCCTTATACAGCGTGTGTTTTAAATGCGAAGAAATTCACAGTAAAGGGTCTTTTTGGACAAACACTCAAAATCATTCAACATTAAAATTAGGGATGCACCGATATAGGGCTGCAACTAACGATTATTTTCATAATCGATTAATCTGTCGATTATTTTTTCGATTAATCGATTAATCGGTTTGTTATTGTTTAGCTATTTAACCTATACAAGTGATGGATGCATTTCAGTTAAGAACAAAAAACCATAAGAGAATTGTGCAGTTGACTGCAATCTATTTTATTGCACATGAACACAGTCAGCAGTATAAAATGAGCTAAACAGTGCAAAATATCAGTCCAGAATAATTTTTAGCATTAGCTGGAAGCCTGCTCCTTCCACCATGGATAGTGGCCTCATGTCTTTTACCAGCATGTTTAGAATAGAGTTTGTAAGTGGTATGAATTGCTGGGGGGTGAGTGTCTTGTTCCCCATGTAGTTGTCCATCGTTGCTTGTTTTTTTCTGCATAAGAAACACAAATAGACTGAAATAAGTACACATATAAAATAAAGCAGCACACACACTACAACACTAAATCAATATTATATTATTTGAATTAATTAACAATATACAGTGATCATTTATTTTGAGGGTTACGTTCTACAAAATAGCCAGCAACAGGAGATATTCAGAAAAAAAGTAAAACATTTTTACTATTAAAAAGCTCTAAGTAAGAAGCTCATGAGGTTTTTACTTTGAGTCGGGAGTGTTTAAATTAGCCAGAGAAATGTGAAAAATGTTTATTTTGTGTAATACTGTTTAAGAAACATGATAAAAATGTGTTGTGAGGCGTTTTACAGCGTTAGATAGTAAAACAGCCTTTTAATAGTAAAAAAATGACTTTTTCTGAATTTCTCCTGTATTTAAAAATTGAAAGTGTACAACTATGCCGCGTTATATTCACCTGGACACAGCTTGTCTGTATATTTTTCTCCGCGGAGTTGTCCTTTTTTGAATGAGGAACATAGTTATGGGTTTGTGCCGTTTTTCTCTTAACGAGAACATTCTTATAAACAGACGTGCTAAATTTGGCAAGCGCATGATACACAACACGGAGGAGATTCACGATTGCATCTAGTCAATCAGAAGTAGAACACCGCAGACTGACGCGGCAAAAAAACATGTTTAACATCCACTATAACGAACTCAGCTAAAACACTAAGTCCAGCTTGTTTATTTTCTGTTACTTACCGGGCTGGCTCTTCCAAATGACGGCTCACTTGACCGCGGTGCTCTTCCTCTGCTGCATCAGCCCCCACATGCTTTCGTCTCAAATGTGCTCCCATACTCGTGAGGTTTTTGTCCGGGGTTTCTCTTCAGTTTTGTCGCTTCTATTTTTCTTCCGTATTTCCTCTTGTTCCGCCATCTCTCACAGCAAGATGAGCGTCAGTAACGTGATACGTCATGAAAACCGAGGGCACCCATTGGCTCATTTCTTCTTCTACGGCTCCACTGGTAGATCAGTGGCTCATTACTGCCACACACTGGCGGCAAATTTAACAGCTTGTAACCGATGTCAGATTGTGGTAAAAAATAGACTTTATGCGGTAAAATATGATTATTAAACAACTAATCGATGACTAAAAAAGTTGTTAACTATTTTAATAATCGATTATAATCGATTAAATCGATTAGTTGTTTCAGCTCTACACCGATACAATACTGGTATCGGTATCGGCACCGATACCGATACCAGTATTGTAATCTGTAAAAGTTATGCAGTTGCTTGAAAATGGCTTCACTGTAACTTTTCATTTCTGTTCACCTAATATTTTAGTGTTGTGATGATTTCCATTCATATATTTTACTTTTTATCTACCTCAGTCTTTTCCTGTTGAAAGCAGAGAAGAAAGTAAAATCTGTATTCCAAATCATTGCATTATTTTGTGTGGTAGAAGTATCGGTATTGGTAATCGGTATCGGCGAGTACCCAGATCCAAGTATCGGTATCGTATCGGTTTGGAAAAAAGTGGTATCGTTGCATCCCTAATTAAAATATTCTGCCTTTAGACTCAATCTCATTTTACTACATAGTTTTCATTTAGTAGACCTACACGGCTTAATGGGATTTAGTTCCACACGCTTTCAATGCAATATAATCGTTTGAATTCTTTTATCTTTAGATTTTTCAGACAGTAACCTGGTAACAATTGTACTGAATTACATAAATCTTTGCAGCGTTCTTCTCGAGAGGGTGCTCGCTGCAGAACTACAAAGGCGGAGCTGCACCATAAGGTGGAGCTGCACCAGAGTCAACCCCGCCCATTCACGCAAACTCAGCCTAGCCCACTGACTTCCGTTTTTGTTTTCAACTTTATCGCAAACTGACCTGACCCACATGAATTACGGCTGTTACTAGTTTACAGTCGTTAATGCTATGTTCTGTGCTCCAATTAAACAAGATAAATATAACTTGCTACATGACAAAGTCTGAATATATCCCGAAATAAAAAGGTTTCTCGTAGCGAATATCTGCCCACAGCCGCTCTAACAAAAGTCCTGTACAACAGCATGTACCCTTCCTGTGGGTTCTGGTAGTCCAGTGGCAAGATCGTCTGACTAACGTTTTGCTTTCCCCTCAGCTGATGCTGGTTCGATTCTCGGTGGGGTCGGCAACAATCTATTCAGCCAGCTGAAACATTTAATTTGTTCATATTTTAGTTGTAATGTTCATTTATAGCAAAATATTTATGTCTCTACAAGTTCTTTGAATTTGGTCGTTCCTAAACAGCATTTTAGTTGAAACTCTGCTCACAGATGGACTCACACTGGCTAAATAAACGAATGAATAAATAAAAAAAACACATTAGTCATTATATGTTAAACGGCATACCAATAAATTGTTGTAAACATAGTACTGGCAAGTGTAGCTAGAAATGAGGAAAAGAGATTATAGAATATTTCCACTGCTGGGAGGCGAACCTGCGCAAAACTGCATGTCAACCTGACACCATTACCACTACACCACCACATCTGATAAAAATCAGGTGGCGTTACATTTTATTATGTTATTTGGTGTGTCTTTGTAGATGGGATGTATGATTTTTCTGGCGGTGTCTCAGTAGAAGTCATTTCAGAAATAAATTGTCAGAAAATTCACAGAATATCCAGATTTGAGAACCAAGACCAGACCCACTTTGGGGGAGGAGACCAAATTGAAGCTGAGATGGGAAGAAAATGCATGAATGAGGCCAAAAATGGCTTTGGCGTGTTTCTTATGAGGAAATGACAATATAACATGATTAAAAGTTCCAAAAGTTAGATTTTTAATTATATGGAACCTTTACAAAAACTGTTCAATTAACTTCTCAACTCCCTCCTCAATCTTGCATTTTTTAGCTATAACACCCTCTTTGTTTCCAGAATGCTATCAAGTCTGACAACTGGAAGGAATTGGACTGACTCCGATAGGATGGGCGGGGCTGATTCTGGAATGGGCGGGGCTGACTCTGGTGCAGCTCCACCTTCTGGTGCAGCTCCGCCTTTGTGGTTCTGCAGCGAGCACCACTTGTTCTTCTCTGGTCTTCCAGAGTAAAATGAGCTCTGTTTTTAGTCTGACTCAACTGGCACAACTTGTTCTTTGGCAGCTATTTTTTAAACTGGTTAACCAGAAGATAATCATGGCAAAACTGAGAATGCATATATTTTTTAGCTGTTTTGTTTTATAGGATGTATGATGAGTCAAAATATTTGTAATGTAAGTTACTGTAGAGATTTGAGTAGAAATGTTTTTTTGATGCAATCTAAATGTAACGGGAAATACTAATACATTTAATTTATATATAAATAGGTAATACTTGTGTTATTAGTGCTTTTAGTAGTGATTTTCAAATATACAAAACTTTCCTGATTTGCAGAGTAAAGCTACCTAATGCTTCAAGTTTGGACCAGAGTCGTCTCAAGGCACTTCACACAGTAAACATTCCAGTACAGGCCAGGGGCCTCATTTATCAGGCTTGCTTATGCACAAAACGGGGTCGGCAAACTGCGTAAGCAACTTTCCACGCAAACTTTGGGATTTATGAAAGAAAACTTGGCGGAAAAATGTGCGCAACTTTAAGTTGACTAAGGACCTGGCTTACGCATATGTTGGACATGGAGAGCACCTGCAGTGCTGCCGCTGAGAAGATACAATTATGAATCCCAGCAGCATTACCACTGGTACCACTGTGCCTCTCCGTGGATTTTCTCTTATTTGTATACTTGAACTACCTTTTATTAGTGTGGGTTAATTAGAAGATGTATCTTGGAGTAGAAGCTCTTTAGTTCTGTTAGACTTCTTCAGTTAATTAATAACTTGGTGGAGCGGTGCTCCACACATCATTTTCCTGTCAGACTTTGGTCATAGTTTTTCCTCTTTGAGGTCTTTAGTTAAGATAAACTGATCTTGGGTTTATTTTTTCTTATTGTAAATAAGAGAACATTTACTTTCAAAAAACATCTACCACACGCCTTATGGTACGCAGTCCTTCCTTTTTAACATCACCGGTCGTAACACCAGCATTTAAAACGC